ACTGTCTATCCTCATAAGCAATTCAAAATATAAAGTTGGCGATCACAATGATGAATGTGAGCATCTTCCTGTTAACAAGTGTCATGAAATTGCACAAAAGTCTATTATCGCTGATGATCAACAGCTACAAACAGAGAGAAAGAATGACCCAATAACATTAGACATTGAAAAACCCAAGGTTACTGACTTTAAAAGAATATTCAGTCTTGCCTTGCGTTACAATAGAGTTCCATGCACAAGAACACTGTCTATATTTGGTTTATATTTTACTCCTATACTCTATTTTGGAAGAGAAGCTGTAATGCCATATGTACCTCACTCTCAAGCAAACTTTACAGATGAACACAAACCTAAAGGTTGTTACTACATAAGCACGTTGCTAACACTGGCAGCTACGACTACGAAATTTTCAACAACGGAAAACGTCTTCTTTGATAATGTGGCGATCGCATCATCCCATTTGAACACCGATTATCCTGCCGTAAAATATTTGGACAGTCCCAAAATGAAGCCAGCAAATTCTGATGATATACCCGGAAAAGTCCTCTTAGATAATTTTGAGACAATGGAGAAGAGCGACAATCAACAAGTTGAGGTTCAACCTGAAGAACTTGAAGTAATCATTGATGACGATGACGATGATTCGCCATTTGGGATACTGTCTGTCTATTGCAGAAGTGGAATTCATTCAAGGTAACTACTAAATACTATCTTAAAACAAAACTTTTTTCTTTATAAAACACTTTTGTATGTACTCATTTACTATCTATTATCACATAAACCGCGGCGCAGGAGTGTAATAAAGCCATTTAATAAAAACGATATTACACTAGTGTAATAACACTTTGACGTCACGTCATTTGCGCTATATAGAAACATAGTGTTAAAGCGCGCTAATGTTAGCGTTACACTATAGGCGCGTCATTGAAAAATTAATCATTTTAACAGTTTACTGTACTTATTTTATATATGTGATAAATAGAATATTATATTCGTGTAGATTCAATACTAAATTTATTGAACTCGTTGAATAAAACAATATTATGCTCGCCAGAGGCTCGCATAATATGATTTCATTCAACTCGTTCAATAAATTTAGTATTTAACTACACTCATTTAATATCCTCTATATATAATATTCCTTACTGAAAACCTTATTTTATTTACAAGTAACGTATGTATTGTATTCATTTATCATTTGTATAAAGTCAAAGGTAATGTTTGACAAACAATGACAAAGTGTCTTATGATATATTTTCTTTTTTGATAATTTCAGATAATTTCACAGACATAGGACAATAGATGAACTTAGACAGAAGAATTTTTGAAACTATTTTACAACAATGATGACGACCATGATTAAAAATATTAAATCAAAAGTAATTTGTGTTGTTCACTTTAATTTAAGCCTTCATATGAACATGACATGCTTTGTATGATCATTTGTTTATTAGTATTATAGGATTTTCGAAAAGAGTTTTAAATCTGAATACTAGAATTGAATGATTAGAGTTAAGTCTGGCTATAAAGATAAGAAATATTTCAATATCAATATCTTTGAAATTAAATGGTACATGGGATGCAATTGTCAGATGATGTGTATCAGAGATATAACATAACCTATTTACTTTGTCAGACGAATAGTTTGCAAACTATAGTGCCAAAAAGTTTCAAATGGAAACCAGACAAATTGTGCCGTTGATTCAACAGCCTGTCACTTTTAAAATATGATATTCTGTTATGAAGTCTCAAATATTAAAATTGTTATGTATATTCTAAGTATCTAAGTAATGTATAATTTCGAAAAAAATCTTGAAGAAGGTTAATTCTTCGGAAGCATTAATCACAACAAAATAACATGAAAATTGCACAGTCTCGGTTTGATTGAGTCTGTACATGAGGTATAATGAAAAAGTGCAACATCCCTCGCCGCTTGATCGGTACTCAATTTTCATCACCCAAAAGTGTTGGAATCAATGATCCCGAATGACTTAAAATATAACAACACTGAACCAAAATACTAGACACCTTTTTACAGCTTGCACAACGCATTCGACACCTGCTCTGGTTAAGTATAATATCTCGGAGAAGGGTGATTCTTCGGAAGCATTAATCACAACAAAATTACATAAAAATTGCAGACTCGGTTTGATTGAGTCTAAACATGAAGGATAATAAAATAGTGCTACATCCCTCACGCCCTCTACCACCGGCTTGTGTGGTACTCAAGCATTGCCTCTTATTCTTTATTGATTTACTGCCCGTCTTTCAAACTGCCATAGGGAAATAATTCCGTTTACTTATACCATTGGTGGCGCGTAGTAACTCCCCTTAGATTATCTTTAGGTACTTTTAAACAAAATTCAAATTCTTTATTCTCTCAGTGCATCAAATATGATACAAACTTAAGGTATATAAAAATGAACATTTGTAAAAAAACAAAAAAAAAACAACAAAACAACAGCAGTACGTACTCTGCAAGTCATTAACAGAGACCAATCACAACACATAGAAATAGATTAACCACCTATTGTTTGTTTTTATTTTCTTCTTTCGTTCATCTTCTTTCGTTCAGTATGAAAGAAAGTTATTTAGTGTAATGATTCTGCAGCATAATTACTATATTTATAATATTATTTTAATAAACAGCTGATAGGGTAACCTCGTGTTACAAATGTATATTTATAGTCTGAAATTAACACCAAATGATGTCTATTTAAATTTCATATAGCCAGCTTTTGGCACCTGTCATACATAATATCGGGCAAACGACAGTCTTTGTTTTTATAAGAAGTGCAGATTCAAATTGATTGTGAATTTTTATGTATCGAAATTTGTGTCGACTGAAATTTTAACACATTTTTTGCGGGGGTTATTTATTTCCTTATTCTATGGGCCTTGAGTTGCGTGGTCTCACGTGTGGTTTTATACTCACAGAAAGTGGTTTATGGATTACTTATACCCCCAAAAACGAAATTTGGGGGGTATATAGGAGTCACCCGGTGGTCGGTCGGTTGGTTGGTTGGTCGGTCGGTCGGTCCAGACGTCCGTTGCATTTTCCTTGTCCGGAGCATAACTTGAAGACTAATGGATGGAATTCAATATAACTACATACAATGGTCAAGCACATTGAGAGGAAGTGCAGTGCACGAGAACCATAACTCTTTCTTGACTAATTACAGAGTTATTGCCCTTTGTTACTTTTCCTTGTCCGGAGCATAACTTGAAAACTACTGGTTGGAATTCAAAACAACTTCATACAATTGTCAAACACAATAAGGGGAAGTGCAGTGCACACGAACCATAACTCTATCTAAAGTAATTACAGAGTTATTGCCCTTTGTTACTTTTCCATTGCTTTCTTTTGTCCGGACCATAACTTGAAGAATAATGGTTGGAATTCAATATAACTACATACAATGGTCAAGCACATTGAGAGGAAGTGCAGTGCACAAGAACCATAACTCTATCTTGACTAATTACAGAGTTATTGTCCTTTGTTACTTTTCCTTGTCCGGGGTATAACTTGAAAACTACTGGTTGGAATTCAAAACAACTTCATACATTGTCAAACACAATAAGGGGAAGTGCAGTGCACAAGAACCATAACTCTATCTATAGTAATTACAGAGTTATTGCCCTTTGTTACTTTTCCATTGCTTTCTTTTGTCCGGACCATAACTTGAAGACTTATTGTTGGCATTCATTATAACTTCATACAATGGTCAAGCACATTGAGAGGAAGTGCAGTGCACAAGAACCATAACTCCATCTTGACACCATCAGGGATATCTCGGCTTTAGTTCGTTGATGTTAGCACTAAATTAATCATCATTCTAAATAACCTCACGCTCAAACCAACATCGTCAGTTACATAAACGTCTGTTATTTATATGCTCCTTCAAAAAATCCATGTCTTCTGCCTATAGATATTTTGTACATGTGCTATAAACATATATTTTATGTTCAACAACAACAACAACAACAACAACAACAACAACAGCAGCAGCAGCTGCAACAACAACAACAACGACATAGTAGTAGTAGCAGCAGCAGCAGCAGCAACAACAACATTTATTTAGAAAAACAATGCTTTTAGCAACACTGTTCATTTGACAGAAAATAAAAAATAACATGAAATAAAATCTGTCACAGAATTTTTTGTTTAGTGAATCTTAAACTATAGATGTAATGCATTTGACTTTTGCAAATATAATTAATATAAAATTTCTATAATATTATTAATTGATTTGAATTTTTTTTTTTTGATAAATGTTACAGTGCAGACATCAGTCTATCGAATTAAGTAAGAGTTGGCCATCTACAAAAACTTATTTTTCCTTCCCTTCTTGATATATCGGACAGACAATACGAAAATAACATTCATCTTTGTACAACTATATTATCTTGGTTGCAAAATTCAAAATTTCTTTTATTTCGTTCTATATTATGATAAGAAGAGTTTTTCGAAATTCAAAAAATATTAAAGATACATCGACAAAGGACAGAAAACCTGGCGGGTAAATATACGCAGTAACATTTTTTCACGGTTTAAAAACGCCGTAAGACCTATTTTCGGTAAATTCTTCCTTAATATTTTGAAAATTTATAGACCGGTTAATAAATAAATTATTTTACCCAGGCGATGACTGGTCAACAAATTCCTCTATTCTATTTCACAGATTTCTTATGGTCATTCTGCTCTAGTTAAAATTTAATAATAATTGAGCCGTGTCACGACAAAACCAACATAATGGGTTTGCGACCAGCATGGATCCAGACCAGCCTGCACATCCGCGCAGTCTGATCAGGATCCATGCTGTTCGCTTACCAACTCTATTACAAGTAGAGAAACTGATAGCGAACAGCATGGATCCTGATCAGACTGCGCGGATGCGCAGGCTGGTCTGGATCCATGCTGGTCGCAAACCCACTATTTTGGTTTTGTCGTGACGCGACTCATATGATCTTATAGTGTAAATAATCAATGTTCGTTTGACTGGAACTAATACAAGCGTTTATAAACTTTATCTTTTTATCTGACGGAGATCATTAGTAGAATTTCAATATATCTCTTTGTGTTGCATAATATAAATATACTGCATAAATATTGATATACCTTTTCGTACTTTTGATGCTAGAACAAAATAAATTCTTTGTCAAGTCTTTGCTAAAACCATAAAAAATAAGAGAGTGCAAAATATGTCGGATAAAGTGAAAACATTAAAGAGACGAGATTCTAATTTGAAGCAATGGCAAGATGGCCTAGAGTAAGTATATCTTCTTTTGGTACGAAGTTTAACCCACCTTAAATAATGATTTAAATATTCTACATAGGTTTGTGTGTAAACTTGAGTCTATTCAACTTTTAGCTCGTGATATTTTGACAACACCCGAGGTTAGCCAAAGTCATCTTTCCTGTTCCGGCGCCACATGACCTAAACTGTGTTGGTACGCCGTAAAACAAAAACAAGATCTGTATCATCATTAATCATTAGGACAGGCCATTACAACAAATATCGTTTGGAGTTTCTTATGAAGGCGTTAATATAATCTAGAATTCTTTTATTCCCAGTTTTATTAAAATCCACATAACTCTTTAAAATCTTTATTACTATACTAGGTTCCAAAAAAAAGTGTGCACTTTGTTTTCGGCGATTTTCCATTGCCCATTATGCTTAATGTCCACGTATTTGGTACCAAAATCAAGATCAGAACATGTACATTATAATCGTGACTTTAAACTTTAAATTCCGGTGTCATTAGGATATGATTTTGTCTCGAGAATGGACTAGGTCCGAAAATGAAAGTTGCAAGACTACTCTGAAATTAGCAATTTCCACAATTCATCATTTCATTCTGCTGAAATTGGAAATTCGATGTTAACTGTAGTCAGTATCGAGTGTGGCCACCTCGACTATTGATGCAAGCAGCAAGGCGACCTCGCATTGACCTTACGTAACGTCTGATAACGTCGTTGGGAATGTTATTCCATTCTTGAATTAAGGCGTTTTCCAGATCCCTAAGATTGTGTACGTTCCCTCTAGCTCGAACCTTTCTACCAAGATAATCCCAGATGTGCTCAATCGGATTCATATCCGGTGACACGGCAGGCCAAGGTAGTACGTTAACGTTATTTCTGTTTAGAAACTGCCGACATATCCTTGCAACATGAGGCCTTGCATTATCATGCATCAATATTGCAGGCCCATGCCTTTGAAGGAAAGGAACAGTTTCAGGCTGCAGAATCTGGTTAATGTAACCTTGAGCATTGAGATTACCTTGCACAACAATGAGATTTGTTTTCCTTCTGCCCATAATGCCACCCCATACCATAACACTCCCACCTCCAAATCGGTCCCTCTCAATGAGACAATTATCAGCAAAACGTTCCCCTCTTCTTCTAAAAACTCGAATTCGACCGTCATGATGACTAAGGTTAAACCTAGACTCATCCGAGAATAGAACCCGAGCCCACTGCTGTCGCCCCCAACGGAAATGCCGTTGTGCCCACTGCAAACGGGCAGCCCGATGACGTGCTGTAAGCACTTGTCCCACATAGGGCCTCCTTGGCCGAATGGGTTGCCGGGCTTGCCTGAGGCGGCGCAACACTGTCTGTTTGCTGATACCATACTGCCTTGCAGAACTTGTCGCCGTTTGAAAACGACGTCGAAGGTGCGTCAACGTAATGAACCTGTCCGTTCGAGGGTTTGTAACCCTCGGTCTACCGGGTCTACGACGATCTGCTACCCCACCTGTTTGCTGGAAACGCTGGCGCAACCGAAATATTGTGTTTCTGTGACAACCGAACGCTCTACTGACGTTGGAGACGTTGTCGCCACGAGCAAGCATCGTTAATGCTTGAATTCGCTGATTTTGATTCAGTCTAGGCATGTTCAGTGACAAGCGCTGTGAAATTAAATGTGTTTTCCCCTATATGTAGCGGGTATAAGGATTATGTCTATACACATTTCCTGTGACATGTACCCTCGCCTCGGACTGCACGTGCAAATCATGTTTTATTATTTATTGCCATATAAAGCGAAAATTCCGTGCCAGCACGGAATGGTTTTTATATTGGATCGATGTATTGTGTATTTAGGACTAACAATGCCAAATTTGAAAAAGAAACGTCTGCTAATTTTCTAAATATTCAACATTAAAAAGTGCACACTTCCTTTTGGAACCGAGTATATATTACTATCTATATTCGCACTGTATTACACGGTATATAAAGTTGTGTTTCCTTCATTTGAAACATTCATGAAACAAAAATAACAACAAGAACAAAACAACAAGAACAAAAAAACAAAAACAAATAAATAAAAGTATAATAAAAATAAATGAATTAAGAAAAAAATAAAAAGGAAGAAAAAAAATGAAAAAAGTAAAAAAAAAACGGATATAAAGCTATACAGTACAGTACAATGTATATCAGTGCTTAACAAAAATGAGAAAAATGAGTTTATATATAGAGACGCGGTACAGTTTGAGCTCATTTTCTTAAACTGTGATTTTTTTCTATTTAGTTCAGGTTCAAGCTATACTTGTGGATACGTTTGTAAGGCTGGTCCTATTTTTGAAGATTTATAAAGGTAGATTTGATGTCATATGCCGCTCATTACTGTTATACGTTTACTTACGGTATACATGTATTTGATGTATATGGTACAGATCTACTTTTGTTATAGTTTATGAAGAATTATATACTTTGGGTCTATTCATTAGCTCGGGAATGTCTGTATCAAATGTGGGTTGATTTGAGTATTATCATAAAAACATTCAATGAGAATTCAATCCATTCATCGGATATATGTTTTAATTATTTCAAATACTTGTAATCCGTATTTATAGTTTTCTCTAAGAAGCTTAAGGAATCTCTACCGGATTGATGTAAAATTTGAAATTCTTGAAATGTAAATCATTTACACTGAAAAACTATACTTAATTGGTTAATTATCACATTTAGAGAAAAATCCAAGTACATAACCAAAAAAAAGTATTAAGTGAGATTTAAGCAATTCATCAGTGGAATAATCAAAATCCACATGTATATATGTACATCTGTATGTAAACCATATTACTAGCGAGTCAATATTCTTGTTTCCCTTGCCTAAATAAATTTGAACACGTTATTTAATAACATCTTACAGTTTTATTTCCCGTTGCCTATAAATAAATTCGATCACGCCATTCAACAATATCTTACAGTTGAAACAAATATATCGTTATTATTTTGAACAATTGAAACAAGCGCAAATCTTCCTCAACTTTTCTCTCGTCATAATTTGCAAACGCACCAATTGTTTGATCATGCCGAATAATAAGACAGACAAACGCTATTTTTTTTTGTTCACGATTCACCGATTAAAGTTAAAAATTATATCCTAATATCTCGTAACGTTCTTTGTGCATGTACGGGTGTCATACATTATATAATGTAATCTGTTAAATAATAAGACAAAATATTTCATTTTTTTACCTCTCTACATTCCTTCAAAGAAATATCCTTTGTTATCAATGACGGACTTCCACCTCTTTGGCAGGTTATCTATGCCCGTAATCCCCCGTATATAATGAACAATTTATATAATTGATCAAAATCATTTTTAGGATCAGCCTATCCACATTCTTTAAATTACATAATCCCTGACGTTATATCTCAACTGTGTTTATGTGCTGTTTCTAGGGAGCTTCTAGCGTCTGGAATGGAAGACTTTGAGGAGAAATTGTTTAGTTTCCTGTGTGATCACAATGGCCTTGTCTCCATGGACAGGTTTAATAACGTAAGTTGTCTCGCTCTAAAAATAACTATTTTTATAAAGTGAATACATTTTTTAGCCATTTTCATTTTCCACGTTTTAATGTTATATCAGCGTTGCTTTGCATTTTTACGGCGTAATATGCATCCCCGTATCTTCAGTCACAGATGTTATACTTCTGTATTTCGAGATAGTTCTACATGGCTTTACGAACACATCTTTAGATGATTCAATTCAAAATTCACCACTTTCATGTTTAAATGTTAAATTCTGCCTTAGCCGATGCTAGGGAGCACCGGGGGCATGGACGTTAACTTGCATTTTCCAGTACTGTCCATGAACAGGCTCAATCAAACCGAGCCTGCGGCAATTTCAATTTTGTCGTTTTGGGAGTTCTTTAGGAATTCTTTTTTGTCTATTTTATTGTTGTATATTTGACATTTTTAGTTCTTTCGATTTCCATTTTGTTATTGGTGATGCCTTCAGTATATGAATATTATATGTTATCACCCAAAGATAAGTCGTCAGCCTTCCAAACTTCTGAACCACTCTCAAATTTCTATTTCGGACCGCCAATTACTTTCTAGTTCATATAACACATATTATTTTACTTTAGTTATTTGCAACGTTTTTGATGAAATGACAGGAAAATCGCTCATTCTCAATAAAACACAGCATTTGATGTTCCACTGGGTAGCTCTTATACGAAGGTTTTTCTTGAGGTCAAAATGTCGTTAGAAAGGTGGCTGCCACTTTGTCTAAAAGGGACTCTCTCAGTTTTACATTTCTATCTGTTATTTTTCTTTTACAAGTACCATTAATTCCCTAAAATGTAACATACGTTACTGTCGCCACCTAAAATTTTCAACTTTGAAATTATGCTTCAGAAAAATAAGTTCCAGAATAAAAGAAACATGTGCAATTAGTCATTGCTGTGTTTATATCAACTTTGATTATTGGTAAAAATTATATTTGACTGTTAAAATCTCATTGATATAATGGATGATCAAATGTCGCCAAATGCATATAAATAAATAGTGACAAACCTTAAACAATAAGAAGTGAAACCGAAATTACATAATTAAATCTATGCATGCCTAATAATACAGCATATATATAATTATAAGTAAAAATATGCTTACAGCCTCTCAAATATCATTCTATTTTCGGAAATTTTCATTTTTTATTCGAATCTTTTCAACAGCATTTTAAAAAGAAACATACGTTACCATTATTTAAGAGCTAATCCATTCAAAGAAGAATTCAAACAAGAAAGAAAATTAACATGTGTGTAACTCTGATATATTAACCACAAATCATGGTGGGTTACACGGTCTTGCGTCATTTTTAACCCACTTGCAATGTAAAAATGAAACATACGTTACAGAAACATACGTTATCAACTTTTTAAAGTAAGCTTATCAAAAGGGTCATTGAAGTTAGAAAGCACGTATAACAGCAACATTAACTTCAATTTCACATTAGTAAGTAAATTTTGTTAACTTTGGTCGAAAATAAAACTTGTTCAAGTAACCACAGTGAAACAAACGTTACTTTTATCAAACAGACTTTATATTGTTTACACATGCATATATAAAAACATAAAATCGCATTTTTATGACAACAGAATGATTTGATTCCTAAATTAAAAAGTCGATTTTACATGTAAGTTTCAATTCCGTGATAAAGTTCATAAATAAGCGAGTGTGAAACATACGTTACTCCAACTTATAATTCAACAATTTTTGAAAATTAAAGATAAAGTTGGGATTAGCATGACTGTTTGTAACGGTTACCTTGTATAAGATGTAAGAAGATACGAAAGTGTTTTTACAAAGGAAAGATATGTTAATAATTTGTTGATGTACCAGCAGAAATGTTAAAAATATATTACAAGATACTGATGTTCTCAGCAACAACTAATTCGTTTCTGCAAAAGCTTACTGGCCGTATTTCATTCTATATATAATAATGTTAAAATAAAATCCATACATATAAATTTTTTACAAAAAAAAAAATGAAATTGTTTTCTCAACCTTTACTTGCATTTGAATAAAATGAAACATACGTGACATCCTATATGGGGTTAAATGAAGAACTGCTTAGCAATAAATTTTCCAAATATTAAGAAAGTGGAAAATTGAATGTTTTGAAAAAAAAATGCTAATACAACATTTGTGTATGCATTCGACCTCTCATATATTATATATGATATATATCCTTTGAATGAAGACATCAAATAACCATTTTCAAAATTGACTATTTTTTGCTTTCTACGAATATTTAACTTTGAAGAAATTAACTGAAAATTAGCAAGGTACCCAACTTCTTTGAATTTTCCTGGGTTAGAAAATCCCTCTAGATAGAGAATTTACAGATTTTGATATATTATACAGACATTTGTTATTAATATGCAGCCAATAGGTTACATTATTTGATCTGAAATCTACGTTACCGAAGAAATACAGTGTCATTACCAAAATAAATGCCATCCTGTTATATTATAGTTTCTTGTTCAAAATATTTCTGGCAAACTTGCAAAATACCCTAAACTTTTACTTCAACGATAAAAAATGACACAATGACAACATCAAATTTTTAATATTTTTCAACCTCAAATGCTTTATTTTATTGAGAATGGGCGAAATATCAAAATGAATGTTCCATGATAACTGCTAAATCAATACATTTGTGGATATTCCTTAATTCTTAATACCACCATTTCATACTAAAATCTGCCCAAGTCGGTGCTAGGGGTGTGGGGTGGACGTTAGTTTGCATTTACAACTGCCGTCCATGTTTATGCTTAATCAAAGTAGTTAAGTATTTCAACTTTAGATAGTTTCAAGGTCGTTTAATGTTTAAATAATTATCTCGTTATTAATTATATAAATATATAATATAATATAATATTTGTAAATATAGATATGAAGATTATTACACACATGTTGTTTTCATATTCTTATGGTTAGTTAGAAGAGGGTTTAAACAAACATTTCTCATCTATCTAACGAAAAAATCTTATATAAACATTATGAAATATGTGAAATACGAAATACTCAAATGCTATTTAAGTATTTGCCCATCCCTTTATAAATATAATTTATTCGGTACTTTGCAAGATACAATTCAACAAAAATTATATTACCGGCTGGAAACATTTCAATGTTGCTTTATACAGTAAGTGCAAAAATGATAGATTGCTGGTGTGTTTTTTGTTCGTATGCTACAAACTATGAAGTGTCTCTAATAAAGCAAAACAAAAATTTGTGTCAGTAAAAATGACTTTTTTATGACAGAATATTGCATGGTATATCATATTGAGATTAACATGCCATTTGTCACCCACGAAAATAACATAATGTGATATAGTGTTCACACAGGCTGACCTGTCATAAAAATTTATTATGCTATACGATGTCATGATACAAAAATTGTTGAGAAGTAAGATATTTGATCCCATTCTAATTTTCTGATAACATCTAAAATCATATGGAGAAAGCCTATGTTACGACATAAAACCAGTCGCCGCAGGATATATTTTTACGAGTCTTCAGTCACTGTGATTCCTATTAAAAGTATAACCGGAGCTTTGGCTAAGTTTAAGGCAGTGCATACGGTTTACAAGTAGGGTATATAATGAACATACAAGACCATAATTACGTAGGGGGCCTCCGTGGCCGAGTGGTTAAGGTCGCTAACCTGAGATCACAGGTCCCTCACCGCTGTAGGTTCGATCCTCACTCGGGTCAAATCTTAGGAAGCCATCCAGCTGGCTTAGGGAAGGTCGGTGGTTCTACCCAGGTGCTCGCTCGTGCCTGAAATAATGCCCGAAGTGTCTTCCTCTACAAATAAAGCTGGAAAAAATCGACGAAAAAATCTCGGCGGGACGCTCTAGGATGGCCCGACTTGAGTGTACGGTCGCCCATATGGGCTTTCCGGCGGCGACCTTAAATAAACGCATTAAAAAAAGAATGACGTAGACCTTTTTGTTATTTTTAAACGAATGGTAAAAAAAGATATGAATAAATTTTAAAGGAGCTAACTTTTACATAGAAAGCTATCCAGCTAGATTATGGAACGCCGTTGGTTCTATTCAGGTGCCGGTGTAGTCTGAAATAATGAACAGAGAGGCACCTGACAGCTTCCTCCACCAGTAAACCTGGAAAGTCGACATATGACCTATACTGTGTTAGTGCGACGTAACCACCCCCCCCCCCCCCCAAAAAAAAAAAAAAAAAAAAAAAAAAAAAAAAAAAAAAACAAAAAAAAAAAACAACAAAAAGAACAAAACAAAAAAACAACAAAAAGCATCCGTTGGCATGATTTCATACTTAACAGGTTCTGTGTACAGTTATAGACATAAATAATTATCTTTATCAAATTCCAGCAACAAATATTTTGAACATGTTATAATCATTTCTGTGAACAGCTTCTTGAAGAGACTGGTTTACGAGGGACAGATTTCCGGTTAAAAGAGACCATGACAAAGTTCCGGGCGGTTCTGGAGAGACAACTTCATAACGAAAATGAACTAAGAGGATTGGTGGACAAAGAAACATTCCTCGAGTGAGATAATAAAAGCATTATTAAAAATATACATTTTTTGTGTGTTTAAGGTTATTTATTTAGATATTTTTGACATGAATTACTTGGACAATTGGAATTAATGATTATAAAAGTTTTTTTTCTGGAAAACAAAATCAAATCAAAAATTGATAAAATACAACCGATCCTCCGAGAGGACGGGCGAAATAAAATATGATAAAATGAAAAGTAATAAAACGTCAAATATATACATGTAGTATTGCTAAACATGATAAGTATATATAAATTAGATAACTTAGTAATTGTAGGAAAATAAAAAACACAAAGTTGAAGCGTAAAGAATAGCCTAATGGAATAACTTTTCATTTTAAGCTGCGTTTCCGACAATATTGTGGTAATATCTAAAGCCCTGACCAGCCAGTTTGTGATACCGGAGTTCAAGCCTTTTACAGACATTATAGACAAAATTTACGAGTCATGTAAAGAAAATGTCCGCGGTCAGGTTAGAATCTGTTATCATTTTTAAGGATTTAAATGTAGTAAGTTAAAAAATTAGAAAATATATGCATAGTAATCTCTATCACAAAACCATTTTAGATACAGCTTTGTAT